CATCTGTTTGGATATAATGGGAGCATCTTTGATTATTTCCATGAAGTGGGCAGAGTTTAGGACATATGAAGGAGACTTTCCGATCAATGGGTCAATTATATCTACAAGGAAGCGACTCAGAGGGTGGCACACAGAGCCTTGGCAACTAACAATCGGCCTGAGCGGAATATTGTCTTTGTGAATCTTAGGGAGATTGTAAATGTGAGGTAGCTTGGTGTAACGCCGCGATAACTGCCTTTACATCTTAGGTTCGAAGTGATTCTTGTTCTTGTTTAGTATCTGTGACAGTTTGCATTCCATTTTCATTATAGGATCCTTTTTTTACTTTGCTGTAGCTACCATTGCTACTTTTTTTGTATAATCTGATTTGTCCATCACTACATTGCCTTTGTCAGCTGGTAGTATGATGAGGACAATAGTCCGAATTATGTAAATAATGTACATAATACCTCATCTCAGAAATATAGACAGATACTGCAAAGTATATGTTCAACAACCCGAGGAGTATGCCATTGCCACATGTCCTGGGTATCATAACCTACATCCAAAAGCAAGGCCTCTGATCAGGAGGTTTTGAAGAGCATGGAACCACCTCTTAATTGCTGTTGTCCCCAGGTTCACCATGACCTGGGGTGGTAGAACTTGTTAGGATCCAATCTATGTGCAAATAGTTAACCACCAACCAAACTAGAGATAAAACACTATGAAAGTGTAAAAATAAGTTTGTTTTTTTCTTCTATTACCCCATTTTTGTATTTGAAAAAAAGATGAAAATATCCACCCTCAAAAAAAAAAAAAAAAAAAAAAATTTTAAATATTACAATTTGAAAAATAAATAGTTAAAAAAAAAAGAATACTGTTGAAATATTAAACCAAAAATATTTCTGTTATGTATGCAAACTATATGTAAATGTTTGCATGCATTTTTGTTTGAATTTATTGGCTACTTAGGAAGTGGGGATTAAGGGGAGTTTCATATATGTATATTCATCCGATAGATTCGGGGGTGTGGGGAATGATTTCACGCCATATAGGAACTTTTCCCCCTTCCCTTTTATAGACAGAAGTACACAAATGCATGCTGGGATATTTTTCTTAGTCAATAAAATGAATCAGTTTTACAATTTGACTTAACTCAGATAGTCTGATTCAGGCATGTCATGGCTGACTTGTCGAACTCTGTCTTTGGACAGAGAGGAACCAAGATGAGGCTATGCTGAAGGGCAGAGTCACGTCTGGGGAGGTAGACATACCTGACCCTGTGTATGTAGGGTCTACAGGGAATTTTTCCCTAAGCCTATGGCTCGGATTTGCCTCACATAAAAAGAAACCCTTGTGCCACATTCTGCCTTGTTGGGAGGTGAGATAAATAACCTCAGTTCAGATCTGCGTTCAATTGTCTGATCTTGCTTTTCATAGTTTGTAAACTTTCTTACCTGTAAATTTGTCTGCTTGCTTGATATTATGTCATTTTTACCCCCTTTTTATGTCTTTTTTATTGCAAACTTTGTTCTCTTTGTTGGACAGTTCTGTTATTTCTTTTTCATTTAACCATGGATACTAACTCATCAAATAAGCCATAGACTGTTAAATTTGAACAACAGTGTGCAGAGATTTTTTTATGACTTTGTGAAAGACATGTAATAACCATATATACACATGCATAAAATATAACCTATATGCACATGTACTCACATATGCATGCCTGTGTATTTCTTTTCAAGATGCATGGATTGTAAAGAACCCCACCACCATTAATGGATAGCATATAGTGTTTGACTAAGATTGCATTATATTAAAAGGGTGAAGGAAGGATGTAACAGAGCAGTGGCCCTGATGGCATCATATTAGTGCATGAAATATTGTTTGGTGACTTGATATAATGAGAAACTTCCTTACATGCAAGCAACCAATTTGCCACTGGGTGTCATGCCACTAGCGTCTACTGCTGGTGGCCTGTTGTCAGACCACTATAGGTATACTAGTGGCTGCCACCAGAGAACTGCTGTCATTGGCAGCCCATCAAGCGGGCCACTAGAAGTTTGTGTGTAGGGTTAGTAACCCTAAGCAGAGTAGAGATATTAAATAGATAAAAATATAGGAGAGTGATTCATTCATCACGGTAGACACACTACATAAAGGAAGATTTCCACTAGATGACATATCAAGTTAGGGAGCGGAACGATGGAAATAGCCACACCCAATTCATGCATCCTTCACCAAACTGTAACACCATGAATTATGATTACTGACTAAAGTTTGAATTAAACAGTGACTAGAATTGTCACATATATCACCTTTAGGTTATGTTGGTACAGTGACTAGACAGCCTCCTCTCTATAACAGTATTGACTACAAAACTTAGAACTTTCAAACAAATGCATATTGTAAAGCTTTAAAGTCATTCATCTTCAAAGTAAACAAAAATTAAATATATAAAAATACCTTTACTGGAACTGGAGACTTCCTAGACTGTTAACTGAAGGTCATTTGCAGTGGTTTTTCTTCATCACAAAATGCTAGTTATTTCAATACTCAGATTCACTGAGGCCTTTTTCTTTCTTCCTTTGTTCCATTAAAAACTATATCAGTGAAATGGCTATTCTTTTCATCACACAGTTTTTGACTATCAGCAGAAAACTACTTCTCAGGATGGTGAGTTCATCACCCTCTGAACAGAAGATTAAATGTAAATTTTATTTACCCAGGTAGGGGTCTCTGCCTGGAAAGCACAAATACATAAGCAAAAAAAAAAAAAAATAGAGACTAGATATCAATTTAAAAAGATGTTATGTTTATTATATTCCATATAGCTTAACATGTGTGCAAAAGTTGAATTATAAAATGTATTCATTTTCTTTTTCTTTTTAAAGAAAATGTAACAATTTCATTCTACTCTTCAAAATAGGACCTAATACTTAAAATTAGTGAACAAATCATTTTGAAACAAAAAAAAAAAAAAAAAAAAAAAGAAAGAAAGAATGATGACATCTTGAAAATTCCCTAATTACATTTCAATTTTTTATGGACCCATGTACCCAAAGTTAAGCTAAATCATATATCCAGTTCCTTTTTTATTTTATAATAATAAAATAAGTTTCTTTTCTTTATTTTTTTAAGAAAATGTAAATAAATTGTTAATTTAATCCACAAATCCCAAGAGTTATTGCCAGTCATGAAGGTAAATACAATGAATCACCATTAAATAGAAAACTGAATACTTTTTTGAAATTCGATTTTAATTTTTTTTTAAAGATAAACATGTGTAAAATTTACAGGACTAAGAATATATCCAGTTTATAATTTTTGCTTGATTTTTTTTTCCAGAAAATGCATAAAAATGCCAGTCACGGTGAGTATGGCAGTTTAAACAAAATACAATGAATAGGTACTTTATACAGCTTTAAAATGAATCATTAAAGAAAAAGTTTTAAACTATAATATCCATTGATGAAACAAGAAGTCTGATTAAAATGGGGTTCAGCTGGCAATGCTCATTCAATCAGTCGGCAATACAAATTTCAATACATAGGTCCCAATGATTTTGTGCAAAATGAATGCAATATACTCTCTTTATATATATGTGCCTCAAGTTGTATGGATGCAGAGATATGAAGCCAAGTGATTATTAAAGACACAACATTGAGCTACAAGAATATAATTTTCATTTCTTTTGTGTTGAATTTCTATGGTATTTTATCCACTAAAGTTTTCAATTTTTTTGTGGACAGCAACTTCAAACCTTATCTTATGCCCACCAAATTGATAAGTATGCTTTTTTATTTATGATGGTACTATTTTGATATGTGTAGGGAGATACAACTTGCACAAGTTTTCAAAACTCCACGATGAAAGTGTCAACTTTGAAAATGCAGAAAAAGCAGAGTCATTGAAATAAGGACATAATTTAAAGAGAAATAAAAACTAAATATTATACACAAGAAAGAACTGTATCTTTATAAAGAAAAGGTTAAATTCTATCAAAATGAACACTAAAATAAATGAGATTTCAACAGTTGACATTTTCACAGCATAAACTAAGGAAGTTTGGGATACTTTTATTCTTTGTTTAATAACAAATAGCTCTCTTGAAAATGCAGTCAGGCCACACCCCAGTTGTTGAATTTTTGGTAATGATATAAACATTGGTAAAGTCTGATAAATAAATATAGCAAGAATTTTTTTTGTGTTTAGGAAATTTTAGAAGACCATAAATCTTTTCATACTGACCTGAATGCAACTGGGTAGGGTTGAGGAAGAGCTAAATCTTAATGAATTATTTGTTTATTTCAGGTTCAAATCTTCCTAGAGCCGTCTCCAAAGAATTATTACTTTTAATCCATTCTTTCTTTCCTTATTTTCCTCAATACTTAATTAGTTTAAGTTTTTTGGGTTTGTATTTTTACTGTTATTTCCTGCTTCAAATCATCATTTGGCATTTTCATACAGTAAAATGTTGAACCAGAGTTACCACCCTGTTCTATCCCTTCATGCAGTAAAATGTTGAACCAGGGTTACCACTCTGCTATACTTACTGAATGCCTTATATTTGAGGCCTATCCTAAACTAGGTAAATAATATTTAGTCAACCAGAAAAAAAGCAGTGAGGACAACAAAGTTAGATTTAATGACTTGTCTTTCATTATTTTAATGATAATCTAACAGTGAAATCATGTGATGAGGTAATGAAAAGTACTCAGTACAAAGATTTGACAAAGTGACCAAACGACAGATTTTCAGCATTCCATTATTTACTTTGGGATGCTTGGCTCACTTCCACAAAAACCTTAATACTGGCCCAAATTATCTCTTTCACTAAAGCATTTCAAAGCTCAGATTAACTGAAATTTTCAGTCTATAAATGTTCCCACTATATTTTAATAAACTGGTATTAAATATTTTGATATTCAGTACCAGGTTATTAAAGTATGCAACATAAATTTCTGTCTAATAATCTAACTTGCATGCATAAATAATGAAGATTAAAAAAAGGTACTTACTTTATAAATTTGAATATCATCTTGCTTTGGATCTTTCATTTCTGGTACCAATAATGGAGGTAACTGATCAAGGCAAGGTGTTACATGGTGGCCAGGCCTTCTGGTTTCTTCTGTCCAGTAGGTGGCTCTATAGACTGAGAGAAACCGTAAGTAAACCAGCCATATAGCTGATGTGATGATAGCACCTGTAATGATACCAGCCACATATGATGGCATAGGAACTATGAGATAACCAAAAAGCAAGAGGACAACAGTTATTAGTCTTTGGAAGGGCACTTTCCTTTCTTTGAGCACAAGCTGCTTGGGTTGTGAGGGATGTGACTTTTTCTCAAGTCCTTCTTTCTCTACCAACGTTTGCTTCTTCTCTTCATCTTCAGCATCATAATAAATTCTGCCATCATTGTCAATGACCTCCTCTGTTAAAAGGCTTGACATAACAATAGGGATAGGATCAGAATTTTTGGGAGGATTACCTCTAATTCGCTCTCTGATAGTAGAACGAGTTGAGCGAGAGGGTGAATGTGTAATTGGCTCAAAAGTAATTCCACTGCGCCCAATCTCACTCTCTTCCAAAGGTTCCTCCTCCAGTACGCCATCATTAATGAAAAGCTCATCATGAACACTCCCATTTTCTGGCATAAGTTCCTCTGTTAGCTCTTCAGCCTGCTCAATTTCTGGAAACACATCAGCTGAATCAAATGCTGTAGATTTGAGGTTGAAGTTCTTGGGGATCTGAGATTCTGTATTCTCATCAGAATTCTGTTTACGAAGTGGGCTTGGACATTTTTCATTCTCATTTTCTGGGCTTGAACTTGATTCTCCTGAAAGTTCCTCCCACTTCTTATGTATCTTCCCCCGAATGTTAGCCAAGAGAGTTTTCTTGTCATCACGAACATCTCCAGAAAAAGTCTTGAATGGGGATGTTACACCAGATTTTGATTCATGTTTAGGCAGCAGAGGTGGTGTGTTCTTAGATGGTAATGATGATGCTGAAGGTAAAGTTGAAGCAAAACTGGATGATCTTCGTGTTCTTTCCTCCTTTTCTGGTTTATCATACTGGCCAGTCAATATTGTAAGTTCCTCATCATCATAATCTTCAAGAGAGCGATACCTGATGGGGAAGCTGGTACCTGATCCAGTTCTTTCTTTTGATTTTTCTGTGCCTTGCTTGGAGGCTGAGAACTGAAGAGACACTGGCTCCCTCTTTGAGCTCATTTCATTCTTGAAGCAGTCTAAGATACACAAACATCATTTCTGAAATAAGAAATATTTTTCCAGTATAATAATTGCATATTATATAACATTAATTTTGTGTGTATGAGCATATATATATATATATATATATATATATATATATACATACACACACACAGAGAGAGTGAGGCACAAAATTATTCATATGATACAAAAATTTCATCTAATATTTGTTTCAAAAGACTTTTTTTTTTTTATATTTAAAAATTACACTAGGATCTTAGGGATCAAATAAATGTTCATAATACATTTCAGAAACTTTTTATTCAACACTGAACATCACAAGAACTGAAAAAAAAGTGACGGCAAGGACAACATTATCCTAACACTTCAGCTAATAGTCAGTGGCATAGCCTTTCTGGTTAATAACTACATAAAAGCAGTAACTAATATACTTCTAATTTTTCAGGATATTGTTCCATTCTTCAAAAGCAAACAGCTCTAGCTACTAAATTTTAAGGCCGATTTGAATTATCCCTAGTTACTCACCATACATTTTCTATGGGATTCAAGTATCAACTTATTGCAGGCCAAATAAGCCAATTTTTTTGCCAGTGAACTTGTGTATTTAAAATCATTATAATGTTGAAAGTCTTCCAAAAAGGTACCAGTCTGAATGTTTCATATTTTCCTTTAAAATATTATGGTACATTTTTTTTTTTTCATGGTTTCAATTTTAGCCTATTCCATTTCTACTACTCCAATGTTTTACACTACAAATAGTGTTCCTAGGCTTCATGGCTTATCTTTACTTTTTTTTTTTTTTTTTTTTTACTTCCACGCTTGCTGTACCTGATTCTGACCAAACAATTTAATTTTAGTTACATCACCATAAAACTGAGTTTCAAAAATCATTATATTTTTCAAAGATTCTTTTCACAGCTTATCGACCCTTTGTGGATTATTTAAAGCTGAAACATTTTTCAGATTGTAAGAAGTTGCTTACAGTAACCAGTGTTCCCAAGCAGTCCTCCACCTAAGTACTAAATGGGCTCAATGCTATTTAACTATGGTAATCAAATAAGAACCAGTGTTTTCAGTCAAGACCATAAACCTTTTTCCAAAGAGCCATGTGCAAATTCCAATTAAGCCTTGCAATAATGACTTTTGAACAGGTTTTTCCTGGACAATAAATACCAAGAAAATGTTTAAGAATCCTGTTTACTGCACGGCCATTTAAAAGCCTCGTTTTTGTCATATAGGAAATATTCTGCAAAAAATTCCATTCATCAGTAACATTTTAAACACCTCATAGAATGTAAATTTCTTAAAGCAAACCTATGCCAAATTGTTTTCCTGAATCCTTGATGACTTGGCTGTCTGAAAATGACAACATCAAGATGAAATAATGGAAACTGACCGTGAAAAACAATTATGCGCAACAAGTTTTTGATCAATCAAACTTCTGGATCTTTTCGGGCAATATTATAGGATCCAGACAGCTATTGTTTGCACACGGTATTATTCACTGGTAATTAATCTTCGATTTGGCTGTAGAAAATGTCACTCAGCAGTTAGCATTAAGAAATCATGCCCAATTTTCTGAGAAAAATCAGTTTTTTCATGAAAAAAATATTTATTTTCACTTCAATAATAATAATAATATCATTCAAACTTCATCCATTTCTCCTTAATTTGGTGTGAACATCATTGAATAAAAGGAACAGCTAAATGGCCCAGCGATGAGAAATATGAAAGACATGCAGCAGAAAAAAAAAAAAAAAAAAATGCTAAGTCTTGTTGTCATCACTTGGGTCACAGTGTATTAAAAACAAAACAAAAGACATCAAGCCATTGTTCAAACATGGATTAAAAATAAAAAAAATAAAAAAAAACTTATATCAAGCCCTACCAATGTTTACCCCTTTTTTTTTTTTTCACTCTTAGCTCTTATCTGGGAGTGGTGGGTTTTATTAGAAGCTGACGACAACTTGTTCTAAACGTTTATTGATGGCTGACCTTTGACCCAGACATGTCAAAGTCAATTTGGCTTAGTTTTCCTTATCGCTGCTATTTTTTGAAAAAAAAAAGAAAAAACAAAAAACAAAAAAAAAAAAAAACTTGGTTTCTGGTAGTCAGGAATTGCAGATAAATCTTTCGCCTTTTACTAAAGATTACCATGGATGTCAATTTTTTTTAACCCTTGGCAGTCATATAATTGAAAATTACCAATAGACTTTGTCGCATTTTGACCCCCTGGGAATGTTGATTTCCTTCAAAACTCAAATTTTATGCCTGAAATAGTTTGATTATGATTTAGGCTTTCTGATTTGAGTTAATTTCCCATGAATGGGGAAAATTTTTGTTTAGAACTAGAAAAAAATGAAAAGTTTTCACTATTTTTTCACATTTTACCCCCTGAAAAAAATTTTGAGTCATTTACACCAGCCAATTTTACTTATAAATGAAAGAATATATCCTTTGCTTTCAGAAAATATCTAGTTTCATGGGGTTCAGATCAAAAGTTTCCTTGATATTTGTTTAGATGATGATAAAACAGTCATTTTTCAATATTTTACAGTATGCAACACATGCCCTCGACAAGCACACATAAAAAATCAAACGTGAGCCCTAAACAATACAAAGTCAAGGGACAACTTCCAACGCGCCCCAAAAAAACCCTTTTCCCCCCAACAGAACAAAACATTGATAGGCTCAAGAATTGGCTATTGAATCAATTCGCCGAAATGGCGTTCAAAAATAATGGTGTATTCCACCAATGTCTGGCCCCACTGCTCGTATACACCTCAAAAAAATAACAGTCCCCAAAAGCCAGACATAAGCCAATTCCTGTGCCTTTTCACTTCAAAGAGCCCAGTAAGGCAGGCCCTTTGGGAAGATGTGAAAAGAAGCATCAAAATCCCATTACCATTCGGCATGCCCACTGATTGGTGTAGCACTATGGTAATTTCCATAAAAAAAAAAAAAAAAAAAAAAAAAAAAAAAAAACAAACCACGAAGAACTATAGACTACCAACACTTGAATTCACAGTGCAAACAGGAAACACACCATACAGGGTCCCATTCCAGCTAGCACTACAAGTGCCACCTAAGAAAAAAAACAGTGTTGGATGCTGTTGATGGATATCATTCCATCCTTATATAAAGAGTCCCAGCCACTCACCACCTTCACCACAAATGGGGAAAGTTCGGCACCTGAGGGATGCCACAAGGTGACCAAGCATCTGGCGATGCCTACACCCTTGCTAATGATGAAATAATAAAAAAAACACATCCCCGTAAAGTAAAATTGTAGATGACATTAAAACTCTATGACTCTGACATCGAAGGGCCTTTTTTCACCTTCAATTTCCTCTTCCAGCCAAAAAAACAGCAGATTGTACTCAATAGAAAAAGTTCCAATTTTGCCAAGACACTTCCGGTTTATATATAAAAGACAGATAACATCCTCTGGTGTAACCCTTCTAAATCCATGCTGGGGACAACATTAAAAGTTACCAAAAACACTCACGGTGCCAGATCATGGTTTGGTCTGGTCAACCAAATCATGAGGCATACTCACTGAGCCCAGTCATGCTTCCATTTAAGTGATCTCGTCAATGGACTCAAACACTTTATATGGAATAAAAAGTCTTGAGGATGCATTCCAGCATTCAAAGAAGGTCATAGTTGACTTAGTTAAATGCATTGCAACATTTGAAAAAGAAATTGAATAACCTACCGCACCCAGATTGGAGCAAAATTTGGAATGGGCTTCCTACTTCTGCAAAATTGCTCATGTACCACCGACAAAGCCCCAGTTTGCTGCCCTGAAGGTTAGCGCCTGATATTTGCTGGTAGCAGATTCTGCATTGATGCTGAATGCAGATATGCACCTAATGAAGGCAAGGCAGCTTAACAATTGCGTGGGCATTGGAAAAATATGATTTTGAAATGGGTTGCCCGAATCTCAATAATGGTTACAGATCATGAACCACTAAAAGGATTATTTTGAGAGAGAGACCTTTTAAGAAAATCCCAAATCCCGATTATTCAGGTTAAAGGAAAACCGTCAGGTACAGATTCATATTCATTGCCCTGGAAAATGGCACAGAGCCTCCGATGCTGTCTCTCATAACCCAGTAGACATCTCACAGGCACTCTAAATGTATTCACTGCTTTTGGCTCTCAATCAGACATCCATAGAGTCTGACAACATGGATGACTAGGTCAAATCCAACAACCTATTAGCAACATTCCGGTGCAAATGACAACCTTTCATCTCACCAGGCGTTATCTGTGCAGTGGGGCATGGCGAACATAATACAAAAAAATTAATTGAATCTATACAAAATGGTTCCAAGGGCGTGCAGCCTCACTGCACCCTTGTCCCGTGAATACTTTTTTGTGAGGCACTGCCTAAGTGTTGATATATATTAGTGCTATTAGAAAAAAAATCGTTATAGACACCTCTCAACTAGGAAAGTCTTACATAGCCTACATTCTACACCAAGATAAAGTTGGAACGTGCCAATAGAATCTGTTTATTATTGGCCCGGGATGAATGCTTCAATATGTAACATTAGAGCAGGTTGTTCTGTTCTGCTCAAAAAAATTGCAGAGTCAACCAAAGAGCCAATCAATTTGACACCATCTCCCGATTGGCCATTTCAGCAAATAGTCATGGACATCTTCCATGTTGGGAACCATGGTTACTTTAGCATGGCGCCAACAGGTTAACAAGGCTGGCTGAATCTATTTCCCATTAAGCCACAGAAGAAGCTAATGCATCAAGGATTATTTCAATTTGCGAGACATTTCAAGCCTTAGGTGCTCCCGAGGAACTCAGCACTGATGGTGGAAACCTTCACATCCCTTATATTCAAGCAATTTTTTAAAGACTGGGCTGTTAAACACAGGTTATCATCTGCTGGTTACCCACAATCCAATGGTGGGCAGAGCTTGCTGTCAAAACGGCCATTAATCATAAATAACAACACAGGAAAGGGAAGGATGGGGGGACAATAATCGTGCAGCAAGAGCATTCACCACAAAAACCC